CCGCATGTCTTGACAGTCCGCCTTAAAGATGAAAAGCCTCTGGCCTGAAATAGGACTAGTTGCTCTGGGGTCTGGGGCACCACCGCGGGAAGTCCCCATCCGTGCCTCAGCCAACCCAAACCACAAAATATGTTTGTTTCATTCAGCCTGCTGCCCCGGCTATTTCAGAAACTATAGTCCCCAGGTGGGAGAGGGAACCCCGACTTCCAGTCTGTGGTTATGGCTTCCTAAAAAGCTTCTTAGGACTGTGAGTGTTAGCACACCTTTCTGGGAGTGGTAACTACTGAAAATAGGCTGGTGAGCTGCTTGTAGCACTAGGAAAAATGGAAGACTTCTGTGTTTTAAGAGGAGATATGGTGCAGTTATTCTCCTTTAGTCAGTATGGCATTCTCCCAGGTTTTCTCTGCATGTTTTTTCTTTCCAGGGCTAAAGGGAAAGCTATAATCATTCTGAGATGCCTTTTGATGGGCCATGTTTAGAGCCATCTGTCTGCAAATGCCCTCTGATTCCCTGGCAAAGAGGATCAGTTTTGGTTCACCCTTATGCCCAGGAAAATAAAGAATGCTCCATTCCGGTGCTGAAACAGGCCTAATCTAATCTGAGACAAAGAGAAGAAAAAGTTTCTTAGTTTTTTCCATAGGCAATTTTTTTTTTTTTTGGTGCTCTGAGCCTGGAGTAAAGAGGGGGGTCTGTTGTTTCAATCCCAGTTTAGGCTATTTGTTCCCTCAGGAATTAGGGTGGAGACAGGAGTTGCCCACAGGAGGAATTTGATATGGAAATTCCTATGTGTCCATGGCTGTAATAAATTGATGGAATAAATAGTCTCTGTTCTGCTTTTAACTGTGTAGATGGTTCCAGTTCATCAGGGAAGCTAAATAACTTTTCATCCAGCCATAGTTGTATTAGTAAAGCTGCATTCTAAGGAATGAGCACCACTGAGCTGGTGAGATTTTACTTCAAGTGGACATGCTCTCTAAACTACAGAGTACATTTATTTATTTAGTCAAGTAATGGGTTGCCCTTCAACCGAAGCAACTTTGGTGGCTCCAGCTCAAAGAAAAAAATAGACAGTTTTTTAAACACCTTCAACAAGAGAGCCAGTTTGCTGTAGTGGTTAAAGCACCAGGCTAGAAACTGAGAGATCATAAATTCTAGTCCCACTTTAGGCACAAATCCAGCTGGGTGACCTTGGGCCAGTCACTCTCTCTCAGCCCTAGGAAAGAAGCAGTGGCAAGCCACTTCTGAAATCTTGCCAAGAAAACTTCAGGGACTAGTCCAGGCAGTCGCCAGGAGTGAAAAACTGACTTGAAGGTGCACACACACACTCAAACACACCCCCCCCCAAGGAAGCCACATAAAATACTGTAACAGCAACATTGAATAGTTAGAGAACAAACCATGAGTATCACTCTTTCTGTTCCAGAGGATCTGTAGCATGAAATTCAATCTGTGGCTTCTGAAATTCAAGTCCCTCTGACCTCCTTGCAGTAAAATGAGCCCTTCTGTTTTTTGTTTTTTTTTTCTTGGAGCAAATATAATTACTATTTGCTTATGAAATTTAATCACTGGGGGGAATGTATACTTATCCTGTAAGTTAAATGGAACATTCTCATTTTTGCCTGTCCAAAGTATATATCTCTGTTCTCCCTACCAATACAGCTATATATCCTAAAGTTAATATATTTGAGATGGTGGATGGTAATTAAAATTATACCCTCATCTCATTCACCACCTCAGGAATGGAGCAGTCCAAAGTAAATACTTCTGTATCTACTCATATCTGGAGAACCTTCACTGAAAGGTGCTCATTAAAGTATGCTAATTCAAAGCCTTTCTAGAAGAAAAGCATTATTTACAAATGGATCCTCTGCATGTCTGCTAAGGACCATCCTGAGTTCCTTGGAACTTACTCTCTAGTAAATGTGCATAGTGTTGCAGTTTTAGGAAGTTTTTACTTTTAGAAGCGTCGCTAGGCAAAAAGTTATAAGACTGCTGTGGACATAACTAACGTATTGGAGACTTCTTGCAATGATGAACTGGTTTGATATATCTAACAGCAACATGGAAAAAAGTGAAGATTGTACTTTGCAGTATGCTGCAGTAAAATCTGTTTTGCAATTTCACAGACTTTTCTACCCCAAAAAACTGCACCCTTTTTTAAAAAAAACAACAACTTGTTCTTGGGATATTTTTCCCTTGAGGGTTCAAGGTAACACATATGAGAGTCTCTTCCCCCTGCATCCTGTTCCCACAATAACAAGCCCATGAATTGGGCTAGATTGAAAAGGAATGGCTGTCCCTGAGTGACTCAGTGAGTTCCAATGTTGAGCGGGCCTTGGGCTTTCTTGATACTTAAACTTTGGTTGAGCTGATTTTATTTTATTGTTGCGAGTGTGACAGGGTTACTGTTACATACCTTTCAATCGGTTTGAAACCTCCCTGGCTGCATACATATCCCAGTCTAAAATAGTCTGAGAGGAGGAGTCTTTTCTAAGGATTTAACCAAAGTACAGGAAGTCTAGGAGGCTGTAGCTTGCCAGAGAGATCATCCGACAAGGAAAGACAAGTGAGTCATGCATAATCCTTGGCCACTCTGTTACTAACTAAATTTCAAGAAGGCCACTCTGTGCAAAGTTCTCTTCTAGTTTAATTTTGTTCCCTACTTTCATGAATATTTGGAATTCAGTTAAGAGTAAAAGAGTTCCTCCAGAACAATGGACTTCTCAGTCATAAGGTTTATTTATTTACCTACTTTTATTTATTAATTTAAACATTTTGATGGCCACCCATATTATATAAAATACCTCTGGATGTATAACAGCAATTAAATTTTAAAAAGACGATAAATATATAAATAAACCCTTTCAAACCACCAAGCGCTGTTAACAATTCCATCACAGAACCACAAATGCAGGGTTCCCCTCCCGTCCTGACCCCAACCTCAGGGGAGAGCCAAGGTCTTAATGGCCTTCTGGACAACAAGGAATGTTTGCTTTCTTGTTCATTTATTTGTTGAGGTTTATATGCCACTTCAATCCAGTGTGACTCTAGGTGGCTGCATGATATGAAACTAAAAAATAACACCACAATAGAACAGTGCATAATAAATAAAACTATTTGGTATGGTAATAAAGGCCACTGCTACCATTAGGTGAGATTTTTCTACCCAAATGCCCCCTCATTAGTTCTCTGGGTTGACAAGGGCTCATTCCAACTTCCAGCACCATCTCACATAAAGGGTCATTGTAAGAGCACACAAGACTAGTATTTATATATGGAAAAGTGTTCCACAAGACCTAAATAACTAGAGTAGGGATTTATATAATTCCTGAGTTTGCTCTCAAATGCAATAAAGATCAAATGAAATGCAGAATGAAATATATATATAAATATTTCAAGAGTTGTGAGAAATGTGTGACATCTGATATTTAAAGGGCTGCATATTTATCACAATATGAAAGGATCATTAAACTTTTGAATGGAGATTTGTGGTAGGTTTCTGACCAAATGCCTTATATTGTTGGGTTTTGTTTCAGCTGGATTACAGTGGACCTCCTTGCAGTTCTCGTAGAAGGAGCAGTTATGACAGCAACTACTATTCAGAATCGCTCAGTGGTGAGTTTCTGCCTTTAAATTTTTTTTTTTCTAAATTAAGATATATAATATTGGGGGGGGGGGGTTACCCATATATAAATAACTGAAAGCAATACATTTCATCAAATATAATGTTCCTGTTACTAATTTGCATGCATTTAATTTTCAGTGGTGGTCAACATGAGCAGTTCGGTCAGTGCATAACATTAGACTTAAATTTTAAAACAATTAGTCCATTTTTATGTTCCCAGCTTTGCACTTTATTAATAGCTTATATGCCATTACTGTAATTTCCATTGAATTGCCAGCTACAGGGGGACTAAGTAGGCATTTAGCTAGGGTTAAGTTGAGTTCACTTGACTGCTGAATAGCAATGTATGATATGAGATATAAAACATGTATTTCGTGTGCGTGTCTGTGAGGAGTTGTACAAAAAGTAGCTTCTCAGTTTTGTGCTGAGATTGACTGATCTCCCTGTCTTTAGATTCCAAGCAAGGGAAGAGCTCAGTGGTTTCCAGCCTAGATTGCTTGTCAAGCATTGTGGAAAGGATTTCAACAGAGAGCACAGCCTGTCCTGCTCTACCCACAGCTGAAAGTGGGATTGAAGGGAGCCCTTGCTCACTCCACGAAGGGGCCAGCCTGAGTGATACTGGAGCCCAAACCAGTTCCCCAGCCAGCTGTACTCAGGTTCCTCAGGACTCTGCCAACAACAGTGCCAGCAACCCTATTTACCAAGTGCTATGAAGTGCAAACAAGATGAATGCTCTCTTTTAACCAGCAATCATACTTAAGCCTGCATTTCCAAGACTGAAAATGGACAATACTTACGGCTTTTTTTTACTCGCTTTCAAATCTAATAATTCCTTTTTTCCATGCTAGTATTACTCCAAGAATGCACTTATTTATTTGTTATAAACAAAAGCTATTTAATTTGTATATAGAGATCTTTTAGAATTATGCACCATGAAATGGCCAATGTTTTTACCGTGAAATGGTCAATGTACGGGGATCCTTATAGGTCCCGGACAGGCTGCTTAAATCCCATTTCTATCTATATAGTTAAAGCAGCCTGATGCATTCAGAATTGCTGCCTCTCTTTGCAATTCCCCCTCCCATCTAAACCCCCCACCCCAGAATCACATCCACATATATGCAGAAAAGGTTGTGGACCATTTTTTTTTTGTAAAAAAACCAAAAATAATTATTTTGTATACTTTGCCAAAAAAAAAGTTTCCATGGAAAGAACAATAAAAATGTATGTATTTAATGTTGCTTGGTTTGTTGTGCCAAACTTTAACTTTATATATTTATACAATATGGATGCTGAGAATGTTTTCAACAATATTCTAAATAAAGATCCTTATTTATAGAATCGTTGGAGTTATTTGTCTTCAGCTAGGAATTTCAGGAATGCTCTCACTATAATATTGACAAGTAATTCTTGTTTAGTTTTGTTTTGTCAAGTCACATATTGTTACATTTATTGTGGATGTTCTGACATTTTCATTGTAGATAATTACTTGGCAGGACATCCAAGGAGTTCACACATCTTGCTAAGCCATGTTTATTCAATAATTCTGTGCATAGAATCATGCATTGTGATAAACCATCAAACACAGTTTACAAACTATAATGACTGGATTCCCCCAATATGCTGAGTTCTAATTAAATGCAGAGTGATGTGTGAACCTAATCCATGTTTTCTTAGGACTGCAAACTCAGTCATAAACTACCCATTTCTGAAATGAGCACTTCCCAGATACACTTTTTTTTTATAAATATGCAATTTTAATTTTGTCATGATAGGTCGATAAGCAAATGGAATGTTATAACAAATACATTGTGGGCTATCCCTTCTAATTAAATCCATTATATATTTTGAGGGGTCACTTAACTATCATAGGTTCTTTGTGAGATGGCACTAGTTAAAGTCAGGGAGACCCACAATTCTCATTAAATAGGAGTTTTATTATAAGATTCTAGAAAAATATAGATTTTTTTTAACAGCACCAAGAGATTTCTTCTTTTTCTTACAATAGAACTAGTTGTCTGCTTTATTTTCTCATGTCTATTACTTAATATACTGTCCTATTTTATCAACAATTTTACCTTCTATATTCTACAGTTCTCATTCCTGTTCTTTAACTTTCCCTTTTAACTTGAACTCTGACCCCACGGGGACTTCTGACCTATGCCTGGTCCTCCATAGCCCATGTTAACCCACACTCACTTGTGTGGGTTGTTGGATCCTGCTGGAAAGTGAAGGTTGTTGGAAGTTTCTTTTAGCCAGACTCTAATTCCTCACCTGCTCCCAGTAGCTCTTTTTAGTAGTATTAACTGATGTTTTCTGTGTCTTTATGGAGGAGTGGGTTAGGCTGCCTCCAGTGCTCCATTACTGACTACATGTTGGGCTTCTCTCTGGATGCTTCTTTTCTACTAGTGCTTAGTTCTCAGAGCTTTGGGTTCAGAGAACTTCCCAGCCTTCTGGATCCAAAATTGCTCACTTTCTAGACTCTCCTGCTTTGCCACTGGTCACTGCTGGTGCTGGCTGGTCACTGCTTATTGGGGAGTTGGCCAAGCCTTCCAGATCCCCTGAAATCCCTGTGGCCACCAGAAGGGTCTTCCCAATTCTTGGAGGCCTCTATTTCTTGAGCCTCTTCTTCATCCAACACTTCTAGATTCTCTGGTGTCAGCTTCTGGGGTTCCCTGGCTTGAACTGAGATGCTATAAATGACCAAGTAGCCCTTATTCCTCTGGTCTTCCCTCACTTCTGCAGTTCCTGGGCAACCAGCAGCTGGAGCCAAATGTTATTTCTGGCAGGGATGGGGGAAATAACTTCCATGCAGCTGTTCTTTTTCTGGCCAGTAGGCAGGCTTCTTGGATTTTCCTCTGGCCAAGTTGTTCTTTCTTTGAAGCAGAGGGTACCACCTTCGGGAATGCTGTGCTATTAGCCACGTTTACCATTTTCCTCCTCCAATATATTATTTGTATTGGTGTACCAATATACCAAGAATAGTCTTCCCTGGTGCCTTCCAGATAGAACTGGCTTCAACTCCCATAATCCTTAACCAACACATGTGGAGCAGGTAAGATTGAAAAGGCTCATCAAACGTGGTGGCATTGCACATTGTACCTTTGGATAATACTGATTTTCAGGACCCACTTAAACCAGTCTTTCAACCAGGACATGAGACTGAGTCTGCTTTTCAGATCTGTCAGGACCCAGAGGCGGCGCGGGGAGTGTGGCTCTGTTACTTCACATAAATCTTTTTCCAGCTTTGGACAGAGGCTTGGCAGATTGAGCTCTGAGGGTACTGTATTATTCTGGATCTGATACTTTCTGGCTTAAGACATGTCCAAACATTCTGATTTTAATGTGACCAACTCATATAAAAATGGGCAAAGCTTCATTCTCACCATTGAGGCTGCCAATCATGACTTATTTGACTATGTCCTGCAGACACTCCTATCTATAAGGAAAGATAATATTGACTTATTATTTTTATTTATTTATGTATTTATTTATATTTCAAATTTGTCACCGCCCATCTCACTGTGGAGTGACTCTGAGCAGTTTACAGTAAAAAAAAGTATTTTATATTTTATTTTACTTTATTTTATATATCTTAATGCAAATTTAAGCACATTGATCTGGAGCTGCCCTCTTTGTCATGGTTCAGTCTCCAGTTTGAAGGCTGTTCACCAATTTGCCACTCAAAGAACAAGTTCAGCCCTCACCCTGAAAAAGATTGTGAATCTTATCTTCAGAGATTTAAGCCCAGGTGACAGTACTTGGCTGACCTTGGCTAGGCCTGGAAGCTGAGCAGGGTCTGGACTGGTTAGTACTTGGGCAGGATTCCTTCATGGAATACCAGGGCTGGAGGCTAAATTGGGAAGTAAAAAATATCCTGTAAGAAGGCAATAGCAAGCTTCTTCCTCTTGCCAAGAAAACTGCATGGACTTCCCCATGCATTTGCTTGGCATCACTTTCAAGTGGAAGAAGACTTTCCCTTTTCTTCCTAGAAGGTACCTGTCTCCTTAGGGATCTGGCAAAACCTGCAGGAGAAATCCTTTGGAGAGCAGTGACTCTTACAAAGCCCAGTTGCTGGGCATAAGGGAAGGATCAGTTTTGGTTTCTGAATCCCTCTCCTAAACTGAAGAATTGCATTCCCTTTGGCGTTAACAGTTGCCTCCCTTTCTCTTGGCTTTTGGGAGTGGTTAAACAACTTTTAAATATGGCCTTTTAAAATGCTTCAATAAACGTTATTCCTGTTTTTAAACTTTGGGGATATTATTATTGGTTCTTATGTTTTTTATGTTCCTTTTGGAATTAGAAGTCCATTGCTTTGGTGGATTTTAAATATTAAAAGTAAACAATTTTTTTAAAAAACAGACAAAACTAGAAGTTATCTAAGTCACACTGGACCCTTTCCACCTTATTTACACACAGACATTAGGTTGGCAAATGGGTATTTATTTTTATAAATCCTGCTTTAAAATTATTTATTTGTTTACTTATTTATTCTTGGAGAAAATCTATGTGGTCACTAAGAGTTGACACCGATTTGATGGCACATAATCAAGGAGAAAGAAAGAAAGAAAGAAAGAAAGAAAGAAAGAAAGAAAGAAAGAAAGAAAGAAAGAAAGAAAG